GAGGGGCAGGGCGAGACCTCCCGTCGCTGGGGGGGTGTTCGTGTGCCCCCCCCAGCTGCCGGGGGGCCCGGGCCCGGCTCCCCCTCCCCAGCTCTGGGATTTGGGACTGTTGTCCTTCCCCTCCGGAGCTCCTGGGCCTCAGCTCCTTCCTCCTCCTGCCCTGGGGGGCTGGGGGGGCAGCCTTCCGCCTCCAGCACAGGGCTCGGGGAGGGGCTGGCAGGGGTCCCCCCCGTTCTTCAGCTGCAACATCTCTTGCAAATAAAGTGGTGTCTTGTTTTGGGGCACCCATTCCTGGGGGGATTTTCTTGCTCCTCCAGTTTTTGAGGAGTGGCTGTGTGAACAAGGAGCCGGTCGGGCTTTGGGCCCTCTGGATCCTCTCCGGTCTCTCCAGGTACCGGTGTCCCGAGGATGGTGTTCGAGAACGGGGCGTGTGGGTCTCTTATCGCACCCCAACGGCCTGGGGAGAACAGTGCTGCGGCTGCCGAGTGGTTTAGGGTTTTGGGAGGAGGGAATCTCGCTATCACACCGGTTTGGGTGGGGGAAGAGAACACGGGAGGTGCGGAGCGGATCCTGTCGCAGCCTCGGTAACGCAGCCTGTGTTTTCGGAAGAAAAAGAGGGTCCCGTTACAGCCGTCTGCCCGTTCGGGGATGGCTGGGAGGAATCGGGAAGCTCTCTAGGAGGGCCCGCTGCGGTTCCGGATGCGGGAGACGGCTCGTGGAGAGGCGGGCGCTGTCCTGATGCAGCGTCCAGGTCCTCCCTGGCTTCCCACAGGGAAGAAACTGGGAATAGCAAAGGCTAACGGCAGGTTCTCGCTGTCACTTCTCGAGGTGCCCAGCGAGGTTTGGGGGACGCTGGCCCGCTTTGGGCAGCGAGGTGGCCCTGGGCTGGGAGCGATTCCTGAAGTCCGGAGGAGGCCAAGGGGCCGGGAGCGGGCCTTCTGCAGGGAAGCCGAGCGTTTCAGCGAGGCTGTTGCTTGTGGGTCTCGGCCGCTTCGTTAGGAGCCTCCTGGTTTTTGGTTTGTGAGAGTGGGTTGGTAGTAAGAACGTGTTGTTTTCTTTCAAACCCAGTTTCTTTTCTCTCTTCTCCTCCTGTTTCTGGGTCTCGGCCCCTGTAAAGTCCCTTAATTCCTCGCCGCTGGTGTCAGCGCGTGATCGGGTAGCGGGCAGCCCTTGGGGGCTGTGGTTACCTTCCCACAATCAGTTTAATTCCAAGAGACTTCCCTAGAAGGTGAGTGGGGAAGTTTGATAGCCTCCACGCTTAGGTTTTAAGCGGTGCGTTAGGAACTGAGCCTTGTTTGTGGAAACAGCTGCCTCAAAGGATGTATTTTTAGTGTGTCTGAGGAGGAAAAAAAATGCGTCACCCCACATGTGGCCGCGCTGGCGTTAGCGGAGGCGGCAGGGCTGGCGGAGTGCTTCCCAAAGCCTCTCTGACCCTGAGCTTTGCTGGGCAGGGGCCGAGGGAGGAGCAGCAGGAGGACTGGCCAGCCCCCCCAGCCCTTTTACTCCTGGTGTTAATCCCGCAGCCTGGGCTGGGCGGGGGGGCCCCGCTTCCCCC